CGCCGAGCGCCTCATGACCAGCTGCCACCTGTCCATCGACCTGGTCATCGGCGACGTGGCCATCACCCAGGGCAAGAGCTACTGGGCCTGCTGCGTGGACCCCAGCTCCTACCTGGTCAAGGTGGGCGTGGGGCTGGAGAGCAAGCTGCAGGAGTGGTTCCAGGTGCCGCAGGACGTGGTGAGCCCCAGGTGAGATTGGAGGGTGCAGGGTTTGTTCTTACCTGCCCAGCTGGGTGTCAGGGGGCTCCTGGAGGGGACAGCTCTCCACTGGGCTCAGAATAAACACCTTCAGCATTGCTGGGGAGTCCCATGAGCGGCCAATCCAGCCAGGGGGGCTGCTGGGTGCTAAGGCACCTTCTCAGATGGGTATTGGAGCTGGATCCCCCCACCTGGGTACTGTGCATGGCAGGTGGAGAGGCCACAGGCAGGGCAGGGCCCTCCTGGGTGGGTGCCCGTCCCTGGAGGTGTGGAGGGATCTCCAGCCTATCCCATGGGAGGACTCACCTGCCCCCCCTGCACAGGTATGACCCCGACAGTGGCCACGACAGCGGGGCAGAGGACACAACGGTGGAGGCGCCTCCTCCCTACGCCTTCCTCACCATCGGCATGGGCAAGATCCTGCTGTCCCACGGCTCGGCCCTCACGTCCCGCGACCCCAACGGCTGCACCGTGCCCCTGCCCCCGCGCATTGGCATCTGCCTGGACTACGAGCAGGGCAAGGTGAGCTTCTACGACGCCGTGTCCTTCCGCGAGCTCTGGGAGTGCGGCGTGGACTGCTCGGGGCCCGTCTGCCCCGCCTTCTGCTTCATCGGAGGGGGGGCCCTGCACCTGCAGGAGCTGGTGGCCAACAAGCAGGAGAGGAAAGTGACCATTGGGAACTTTGCCAAGCTGGACTGAGCCATGCCCGCGGTCCCCACACTCCCCCCGGGCACCCTGTGAGCACCAGGGGGACACAAGTGGCCAGGGAGCAGAGCAGAGCAGAACAGGGGTGNCTTGCTCCATTTCCATCTTCTTTGCCCCATTTCCATCCCCCTCACGCCCCATTTCTGTCCCACTCCTTGCTCCATTTCTATTCCCTTCCTTGCCCCATTTCTGCCCTCTCTCACCCCATTTCCATCCCCTCACGCCCCATTTCTGTCCCACTCCTTGCTCCATTTCTGCCCTCTCTCTCCCCATTTCCATCTCCTCTTGTCCTGTTTCCATTTTCTTGCTTGCCCCATTTCTGTCTCCTCTCACCCTGTTTCCGTCCCCTTCCTCACTCCATTTCTGTTCAACTGTCACCCCACTTCTGTCCACATGCTCACCTCACTTCTGTCCCATTCATCATCCAATTTTCTGCTCCCTCCTCATCCCATTTCCACTCTCCCTTGCCCCATTTCAACCCCATCCTTGCCCTTTTTCCATTTTCTTCTCATCCTGTTTCCATTCCCCCACTCTCCATTTCCACCCCAGTCTCACCCCATTTCCACCCCAGTCTCACCCTATTTCCATCCTCTTCCTTACTCCATTTTCATTCTCTCCTTGCTCCATTTCCACCCCTCTCCTTGTTCGATTTTCTTCCCTCTCTTGTCCCATTTCCATTCCCTTTCTTGACTCATATTTGTCTCCCCTTCACCCCATTTATGTCCAGATTCCTCTCCCATTTATTTTCCCATCTGCCCCCTATTTCTTTCCCACTTTCACCCCATTTCCCTTCTCTTCCTTGTTCTATTTCCACCCCTCTCCTTATCCCATTTCTTTCTCCCCTCGCCCCATTCCCATCTGCCTCTTCACCCCAATTCCATCCTGCTCACCCCATTTCTTTTCCTTTCTGCATCCCTTTCCCACCTTGTCCTTGCCCCATTGTTGCCCCATTTCCATTCTCCTTCTCTCTTTATTTCCATCCTACTCTCACCCCATTTCTGCCCTCTTCCTCTCCCATTTCCATCCCTCTCCTTGCCCCATTTCTACCTCCCTCCTCATGCTGTTTCCTTTCTCTTCCTTGTGCCATTCCCTTCCTTTCCTTACCCCTCTCCCACCTGCCACCCTTCATCTCCCCTCCCCGCCCTGCCTCTGTTCCTGCCAGTACCTTCTACCACCCTCCATCCCCATCTCCTCCTCCTCCTCCTCCTCCTCTCCTGCTGCCTCCACTCTCTCTCTCTTTCTCTCTCTCTCCTCCCTCCTGACTTGCACTCGGCCTGTCTGGTCCCTGGAGCCCCACAGCAGCAGCTCCTCTGTCTCCCCGACTCTCGCTCTCCTCCGGTGCCGACACACGGTCCTCCGCAGTCAGACCCCTTTAGACTCCGCTGGTTGTGCGTCC